TTATGAGTTATCGCACGGATATGTATTGGGAAAAAATTTCTAAATTTAGAAGTGATGTGATCGCAAAGATGAGTTTTGCTAAAATTGAAATATGAATGAAAGAAATGTCATTTTCAACTACTGTCAAACTTTAACATGTAATAAGGAGAACGTCTATAAAAAATAAAATTCAAAATGCTTAATACAAAAATTTCTAATATTTTTTCAATTGTAAAAATTCTTATATTTACAATTTAGATATATTACAAACTAAATTCTCGAGTTTATAAGTCCATAGCTTTTAAAGAAATTTTATAAATATATTTACAGTTCAAACACTCTAAACTCTAAATATTTATAGAGTTTATAAAACTGCTTATTTAAACTGTATATTTAGCGTTAGTGTTAAATTTAAAAATCAGAATTACCCGCGTAAATCGTTAATTAAATATTTAATAATTTTTGTAATAATAAAATAATTGTAAATACTATTTATTGATTATTTATAATTTTCCTTAAATGTATCATATTCGCATTATCATCTCAACCAAACTATATTTACACTGTTCATCGAGTGGATTAATTCAATTTTGGATTGAGTGGAATATTAGTAGTTACATATTGACATAATTCATTGATTTTACTTAACACGTTCTCTTACTGGAACTATAATTACTAAAACGTCGACTAATAATAATAATTTTAAGTAAACATTTAAATTTTTCCCCTCTTATAACGATAAATTCAATATATAATTTCTTTAATATTTTGTAAATATTAATTATTTATTAATAAATGTAACATTTCTGTTTACTTCTTGCTTCATTTTTACTGTATCGGGTTGTGATATCTATGACATTTTCATCCTGATAGACTGTAATTTGAACAGAATCCTTTGAGCTGGAGTAAATTTCTGGAAGAACTATTAATATTTGTGATGTAAAAGGGACGATACAAACAGGGAATAAAAAAAAACTATTTCGATATAAAAGATTGAAGAATATCTCATAATATTCGTACTTATCGTATGACATCATTTGTGATGAGCAGTCCAAAAAATATTTATTACAAATAAGCATCCTTACATCTATCTATATAAAGTAATAATTCAAGAAAAATGAATATTTCTAATTTATTATTTAAAAAACCCGACAACGAGTTGTTTAACTTTCACAGTTTAGAAACTGCGTGTGGTGTCATCTGTTATAATTTTATTTAAAAAGTTTTTATATTTTTAATTATTATAAATAGCAAAAAGCTTCATTTTGAGGGTAGGAATGAGTTTTATACAAAATTGTAAATGCTAATAACGAGTAAAATCGTCATTAATTAAATCCGATCCTACTCGAGATAAGACACACGACCCTCCCTCTATCTTTCCATCCCGTCGACCTTTAACCACCAAAATTTAATAGCATCAATCCCCTTAACACAAACACAAACTTCAAAATTTCAGAAATTTTCGACAAAAAGCACAGGAGTTATTAAGCTTCAAAGAGGATGAACAAAATCGTACCCCCACACATATATATACAGAAAAAAAAAATCGAATTTTTTTTTGTACTTATCGACGTTTCAAGGTTTCCCTAGTCCAAAAATTTAAAAATCTTGGGAGGTCATTTCTTTATTCATCGCCATACTTTCCTTTTGTTATTTATAACAGAGCCGGGAAAGTAAAAATGACATAAAAAAATCTTTTTTCTTTTGATTTTAATCACAGATTTAATAATTGTACAGTACCTAACACTATTATGTAATGTTATATATTCCCAGTAAATATTTATCAGCATTGTCTAATGTAACATATTTTCATCACAATATATGTTATTGATGCCACTTAAAACTAGTTTTTATTTAAATAAACATTTATTAATGTTATTCTTATGTTTATCTTTCATTATACAATAAGATAATTAATAATTTATATTCATGAAGGCAATTAATCTTAATTGCTGTAGATTAAAAAAGAAATGTAGTTTTTTTATCATATGAATTAGAATTGTAACTTGACTTATTTCTGTTATTTGATTTTAATCTTAGTCTCGAAAGACCATATGTGGATTACACGACGAAACTTGAAAAAAATCGATTCATAACATAGTGTAATGTAAAAAACTCCAGACCCTAGTGTTTTATATAATACACTAGACTTAATATAATTTAATCGGCTAATCTCGAGGAAAAAAATTGTAATTTGTTCTGTAATGTAAGGAAATTATTTTGATTAGTCTACCTTAGATAATGTACAGACGTTAATGGCAAATTGATTTGAATAGTTTTGTTATTACAAGAGCAGCTATTATACAACTCAAATCCAAATAGTCTCTGTCCTGTTAGCTGTGCTTTGTGGCAAAGTGGCAAAGCTTTTCCTTCTCGTAGCGACTCCCTCTTTCCCAACTATTTGATAGTAGATCAGCTGCCTTCCAACTTCCTGTCTTTCACGCTCTTCCTGAAAGAAGTCACCACCTTCCTCCTCTCCGTATTTCCGCTTCTTGGCAAAGCTAAACGTCTCACGAGTCATTCATGTTGAGTTCCTGTTACTTTATATATAGGAAAGACCGGGGCAACTTCGGCATGCGGGGCAAGTTTGTCAAGCGCTTTTTTTTTAAAAACAAATTAAAAGGAGACTTTGGTTATAGGTTAGGCAGTTGAGTTTTATTGGTGGCTTGTTGAGTGTAGTGTTTTTATTGTTCTCCAACAAGCGTAGTTGAATTATCAAGCAAATTTTCATTTTCGTTCAATTCCATATAATATTTTTTTTCCATTTATATTGAATTGGCAGGTTTTGTTATAATTCCATGATAACGAAAGTTACTTTTCCTGTTAGAAGGATGTAACTTCAACTTATTCACGTGGCCAGATCGTGGCTTGGCATTCTGTTCTC